TAAGAACAAATCATCCGGATTATTCGTAGAAATGTATTCCGAGCGAAATTTCATCAACATTATCATGTTAAAGCATTAATAGAATCACCGGGCACATTCCGTGCCCGGCACGCGAACCGCCGCTCATTGATTAGTATCGTTACTACAATCGGCAATCACGCGTGGATTTATTCACACGCTTCGTTACGCTTCATTTGTACATATTTACATATCGAGCAAGGACAATGCTGTGTCGCGTGCAAATTAAATTCACGTTCGACCAGTCGTTACATACGATTCGCATGCGATCACCGGTTCCGACAACGGATATTCCGCGCTGCGTCGCGGACGCCGCGATAGAAATCCGATTCTTTTTCGAGACTTAATTGCACCAGCGGCACCGATCAAAATCTTTCCTGGCGTCGCAAGGCCAGGGTGCTCGACGATTCGCCCGACAAACGGGCCGCCGCGAGCTCGCTTTTTTTCACTCGTTCGTCGCGAAAAAGTGTGCCGCTTTTCTTTCTCGCCACTTTCACCGTGGCGACCGGCCGACACCGGTCGGTCGCTCCTTTAAAGAAACCTCGCGTCGCATAGTATCGATTGTTCGTAAATATAAATAGGATTGGTGCGTCCCGCTGTCGGGATACACGCGACACCTACACGTGCCCGCTCGTTCCTCCTTTCTTTTTCTTTTTTTATTCATTCGCCAAGTATCGCATGATAAATCGCGCGCGTCGCGCGAACTTCGCCGGACACGCGTCGCCTGTCTGTCCATCGTTCGTCCGTTCGGCCCGACTTTGAGGAACGCGCGTCGAAATGGCCAAACGGAAAACACGCTCAGGCGGTGTTTAAAGGTGGTCGGTCAACAAGTGGTTTCAATACTGCATTGATTTATCTCGTCAAGCGTAGTATATTTTGCCAGCGAAATGTTCCCGTTGTTGTTCGTTGCGGAAGCATCGAAACGCTGAATAAAATTGGACAGCTTTCAGCAGCTATTTTTTTGTTATTGCTCATTTCGTAATGAATCGCAATGAATGGATTCGGGTCAGGCATTTGGGGCCAGAACTGTTGACCCTAAACGCGACTAATGAACAAACACGACTTGTCGATCATATTTTTATTTCAGATCTTTGATGTGAGATTTTTTTTAAATAGTAGAATTTATGTGGTAAAATTAAGTAGTAGTTAAATAGTAAATTTAAATAGTAGAAATTTAGATAATAGTAGAGATAATAATAATTTAGGTAATAGTAGAAATAATAGTAGTAAAATTAAATAGCAGTTAAATAGTATATTTAAATAGTAGAAATTTAGATAATAGTAGAGATAATAATAATTTAGATAATGGTAGAAATAATAGCAGTAAAATTAAATAGTAGTTAAATAGTAAATTTAAATAGTAGAAATTTAGATAATAGTGGAGATAATGATAATTTAGATAATGGTAGAAATAATAGCAGTAAAATTAAATAGTAGTTAAATAGTAAATTTAAATAGTAGAAATTTAGATAATAGTAGAAATAATAGTAGTAAAATTAAATAATAAATTTAAATAGTAGAAATTAAAAATTTTAAATAGTAGAAAGATAATGCGAACGTAATATACTATTTCCAAGTTAATATATAATATATAATATATTTTCCATCGTCAATGTATTATTTCTCCAAGTTAATAAATAATATATAATATATTTTCCATCGTCAATGTATTATGTCCAAGTTCATATTATAATATACAATATAATATATTATCCATCGTCAATCTATATTATTTACAAAATAACATATAATTTCCAATGTAATATAATCTTCTAAAATTGTTGTTCGCGCAACAATCCGCAGACTGCTCACAACAATGACAAAAGTTGCATTTAATTTAACTTCGTCCGACCATTGTCACAACGCACGCTCTGGCCAGGAAGTTCGGCAGAACAGTTCTTACAGAAACGTTTCCACAATTCCGCTAACGTTCAGCAATTTCGCTTCGGTCAAAAAGTCAGTTTAGATCGCGCGAGACGATGCGCGCACAGTCGCCGAAAAGTTTCGGCAACAACAAAAGAGAACGGCGCGGCGCGTAGCTAGAAAAGGTATCGACCCGATTGTTTCGCAACCGGCCGCGCTTGTTATTGGAAAAACGTCAAATTGGTTCAACGTCCGCATTTTTTTTCGGCCAGTTAGTCGTAACATCGAAAGGGAGTCGACGAGCAGGGGGGGGGGGAACTTTCCGCGAGTCACTTTTCCCGTTAAAGTTGTGCCGCGACTCCGGCCAGAAACGGGACAACAACGTCGACGTAACGAAAGAACGACCGACCGACCGACCGACCGTAGGAAAGACATCGTATTTCCAGCACCGTACAAAAGAAACTGTTTTTTCTTTATCGTCGCCGTCCCGCGTATCGAGTTGTTCGATCGAGATTATGGAAATCCGCGAGACACGAATTCTTTTCGAAACAGCGGCGGAACAGCTCTCCGCGGCGACGGATTACCGGTAAAAAGACGATTTCCATCTGTATACCGTTTGCATTTCAATCGTGTTACTTTAACGAAGCATTTGTCCCTGTCGTTCACCCCCGGCTGCACCACTCGGGCGCCTAAGACAGTCGCGCGAAAATATTACGACGTAATAATTCCGCTTGGAAATTCCGTGTTCGCGCGAGCAATTCTATGGGGCCATCCTCTCGGAACAATAAACGTACGCGCTACCGTCGCACGCGTGCCCGCGCTACAGAAATCATTATAATTCACCTGGCGGCCACGCACGGCTTGCGCGAAACAATCGCCTAGTGATTGCATTGAAAACGCACAGTAGTTAATTACCGTCGTAATAATATTCCCTAAAAACACGGAAAACCATATAATTAAGCTGCTCCGGCGCTGATAATCGCGCCGCGCCTTTCGAAACCGTGACTGAAATTAATTGTTTGCTATCGGGCACGAATTTGACACGTCGCAAACAGCCGGATAATGACAACAATTCAGCGTACGTTTCGTTCTGCCACGCGCCCACAGAGTAAACATTTGCGCGGCTCGTCGAATAAGCTACTCGATACCGCTGGGCCACGTTGCACCGGGTCCCGGCTGACCCGAGCACAAAGCATCCGCCGCTCGAGATCGTCCATCAACTATCGACGTTTGTTTGCGTTGGCGCGACGAGTGGTTCGTAGGTTACACAAAACGAAAAACTTCGTATCTAGGTGCTTTGGTTGCGATACGAACGTGCAATGTTCACCGGACCGTCGGTATTTACAGAGAAAACGCCGAGTTATTAGAAATATTGCTCGGAAGTACCGTATCACAAGAGGAAGCATTAACGATACCCAGTGTCGATACTTTGGTCTCTAACGAGAGATCCTCCTTTCAATTTATCTTGAAAATGTTGTGCACACTTGTGACGTAGTAGAGCCGTTTTTTATTGCTCGGCGCATTGAATTATAACACGTTTTATCCGATAAATATCAAATTAAATCTGCCTGAAAACGAAGCCAAGGCACAGCAATCGGTCATTGGACAGTAACCGGCTCCACAATAATAAATTAACATATTATTGTATCCATATATATCATATATAAATGCCATAAAAGCATTTTGATCATCGACACAATTTCGCAGTTTGCACCGGCCGTAATTTATCTTGAAAATTTTGTGCACACTTGCGACGTAGTAGAGCCGTTTTTTATTGCTCGGCGCATTAAATTTTTGCATTCTTTTATCGCGTTCGTTTGTTAACGAAAGAATTTATAACACGTTTTATTCGATAAATATCAAATTAAATCTGCCTGAGAACGAAGCCAAGGCTCAGCAATTGGTCATCGGACAATAACAATTGGTCACAGGCTCCAAAATAATACAATAGCATATTATTGCACCCACAGCTATCATATATAAACGCCATAAAAGCATTTCGATCATCGACACAAGGGTTTCGGAGTTTCCGCCGGCCGTAATTTATCTTGAAAATTTTGTGCACACTTGCGACGTAGTAGAGCCGTTTTTTATTGCTCGGCGCATTAAATTTTTGCATTCTTTTATCGCGTTCGTTTGTTAACGAAAGAATTTATAACACGTTTTATTCGATAAATATCAAATTAAATCTGCCTGAAAACGAAGCTAGGGCACAGCAACTGGCCACCGGATAGTAACAATTGTTCACCGGCTCCAAAATAATACATTAACATATTATTGCACCCACAGCTATCATATATAAACGCCATAAAAGCATTCTGATCATCGACACAAGGGTTTCGCAGTTTTTGCCGGCCGTAATTCGTCGGCACGCTCGATTTCCCAATAAAATCGAGCGGACCAATTCATTTGGCCGCGAGAACGTTCGCGTGTCGCGCGGCGACAACAAAAACTTCGGACGCGAAATGGGTCAGAACGGCCGCGGCGTTGTTTCCATTATTAGTTTCCAATCACGAGGATCGAGCGGCGATCGCGTTTAAAATTAACTCTTCTCCGTACGCGCTCGAGAATAAACGTCCCGCGACGAAGGCGGCCGCTGATCCGCGACGAACGCGCGAAACCGCGAGCGTTCGCCTAATCGGTCGTCTTCTTAATTCCCGACCCGGTCCGATCTTAATTCCCAACACGGCCAGGATCCGCGCGATCAGCGGCCCGATGGATCGGGTTAGCGCGAGAGATCCTTAATAATTCCGCGAGCAAAGTCGGCCGCTCGGTGCGACGCCTCTGGCATCGCGTATAGACGGAAGCGCGCGCGCGGCCCAGTATATCTGTATCTCCGAACACCTGTTAGCAGTGGTTCGTGTGGGCGGCTCGACACATCGCGTTTAAATTCTCGCCGCGATTAATCTCGGTGTGCGGACAACACGCTGCTGTCGAAAACAAAACCGACGAAAACGAGAACCGAGCGAAACTCGTGCCGTGCCGCGGCACGCGTCTACTTTCCCAAAACGCTGCGACGGCGGCGACGGCGACAAATTTGATCGAGTCGTCGGTCATCCGGACGAGTCGCGGCGTGACACGAAACGAGCGGAAAATCGTAAGGGATGCGAGACACTTACCGGCGTGACCTTGCACGGAATAGTTGGCTTCCTCGCTGGGCAGGATCGTCTCCTCGAGGATGCTCTCGGTCTTGAGGACTCCCATGGCTGGTCCGGGGGTGATCCGTCCGGCGGCGTTCCTGGTGCGGTTCTACACGCTGAAAGGGGATGCGACGTAATGAGATCGTGGCACGACGTTTACCTCGGCTTGGATCGTGCCGCGTTGTCTGCCGTTGCCGGAATGCTCGGCGCCGTTTCGCCGACTTATTGCGTCTGCGTCCGCGCCTGCGTCCGCCCGACGCTCCCTTGAGCCCTCCATCCTGCTCTTCCCTCCTTGACCCTCGTGTACATCCTACCCCTGTGCTTCCTGCCCCGCTTCCGGCCCTAGCCTAGGCCAGGCTACGCGTCACGACGCGCCGCGCCGCGCCGCACCGCGCCGCGAGCCGTGGCACACGGACGGAACGGGACGCGTTGGGACGGGGTGGCAAGGCAATCCCTAGGCCAGGGTGAACAGAGAGCCAGCGGGAGAGCGGCGAGGGGCGACCGAGGGCTTTGCCGGTCCGATCGGCACACGGCAGAAGAGGGGTAGGTGGTAGGTTCAGCCGCTTCTCCCGCGTTAACCGGCGCGGCGCAGCCAGGGCGGGGTGCGGCAGCCACAACGCACAGGGGCAATGTCGACCAACTGGGTCTCGGTGAAGGTCTCGGCTGGCTACCCGTGCCGACAGTGCACCTCCTTTTTCCTCGACGTTTTTCCCTTTCGAACTTTCCCGTTTTGCTGCTGCTGTTGTTGTTGTTGTTGTTGTTGCTGCTGCTGCTGCTCCTCTCCCATCTTCGCCGCGGCGCTTCGGCTATTTATGTACCGGGTGTCTCCTGTCGGCCAGGCCGCTGCCATCTAGACGGCTATGTGCTTGGTCGATTCTGCGATAGAGAGTTTATTTATTGAGGGATTCGTATCTTCTGGGCAGGTTTTGTTCGTCGCTCGAGGCCTATTCTTCTTATTCCCTGTTCGCTAGTTTCTGCTCTTTGTACCTCGATTGTACGATTATCTCGTTCGACGTTCTTTTATTGAACAGGTCCCGTGACCCATTTTGTGGCTACTTTACCTTTATTTGGACGTTATTGTTCGTTGATAGTGAATCTGTCATGCTGGTCATTTTGACCGGTTTCGCAGTTTTCATTTTGAGATCGTTGACTGTTCGTGAAGATGGTTTTATAGGAAATGATTGAGTAAGTTTTTTAACCGGTTAGAGCTGTGTTTGATGAGTGTATTTGTTATGGAGAAGTGACAGTAGAGTAAATTCTCTCTAATTGACGCTCAAATTGTGCACAAAAGTGGATAATTTGGGAATAGGAGGTAAGATTATTCGAGTCTCGCGGCTCATTTTTATAATTGACAATCGAGGGCGAGGCTCGAATAACCGTATTTCCTCTTCCCAAATTGTCCATTTTTGCGAGCGATCTAAGCGCGAATTAGAGAGAAATTACTATAATTACAGTAAATTCTTCACAATTGTCGCGCAGCTTTTAAATAAAAATGGATAATTAACCATAAAAACGAGTTTCAAGGCTCGAATAATCGTATCTCCTCCTCCCAAATAGTCCGTCTTTGTGTACAATCTAGGCGTCAATTAGAGAGAATTTACTGTATTTTGTGTCGAGTATACCCGTCGTGCATAAAAAGTAGCAACCATTGGGTTTTTAAATTGTAATTATAGTAAAAACGAAAACATATTCCGAAATTTCAAGAATATTTTAGAATATTTTTAGGCCAATCTTACATGAAGATATTTATATTGTTGCTGGCGCCATAGCTAATTGGTAAATACTAAACCTGCCGTGCCGGTCATTTTGACAAGTTTCATATTTTTTTATTTTGTGATCTTCGACTTCGCGAAGACACTTTCATACGAAATAATTAAATAAATCTAAATATTAATTGATGCATACATTGCAGTAAAAGCGTCGTGACGTCAAAATAAATTCAATCTCGCCATTGTTACGGAACAGCACGCGTCGATCAGTTCTAGTGCTCGGTAGATTTAGTATGAACACGTTTAGTCGTTCTCCGAGTTCGTCGACACGTGAATTTACTTAGTTGCCGATTTCCGTATCTTCGTTCGAGAAGTGCCTTTATCTTCGCATTAAATGGGCGTCACGTCGGCCGAGCGTCGACTATTATTATCATTGATGCGTACTGTATGCGGATTCACCGGATTATAGAGGCATTGATCTGCATGTAACAACCTACCCGCCGACGTAGGTTCGCCCAGAATGTAAATATTATTCACCCGGAGTGACACGAATCGCGAATAAACTGCGTTTCACGAAACAGCGAACTGTAAACGTTGAGCGAAATTTTCCTATGCGAAGCACAGTTCGTAAGGTGGTTGGACTGTGAATATTTATGTGTATGCACCGCGTTCGCTTATTTAACAGACGGTAAACCAAAATCAGAGGCATCATGAAGGAAACTATGTATGTAGGGACAGCGAGCGATCGATTTACGTCGAGAAAGAGATTCAGCCCCTATCGATATTACTTTCTTCGAAGCTGCAACAATTACGATTTCTTCGTTTCTTGGAATTATTTCAGTGGTTAAGAAAAGGTCACGTTGTAAGTCTAGACTTTGATACCGATATGCTGACGGTAAGATACAATTTGATTTCAATCGAAGAGAAGTGATATTTACGATGATCCACAAAAGTGTTCGTACCCCTTCTAAAATGTAATTACTTTTTTAGCACTCGACTAAATGATTTGAATATTTTGTAGATGATAGAGGGATTAGTCTACTAGACGATCACTGAAATGCTTCTTTTTTTTTAAATTTTGTTACTTCTTGAAATGACAAAAAAAATGAAAATCTCTCGCTTTTCGACTTTTTTTATCTAAGTTTAAAAGGAAAATTTAAAAAATGCCTTTCGCAGATCTCGGTAACTCACTGGCGTCCTGAAAATTTGATCGAAATCGGTTAACCCAGAATCGAGCTAAAAACGATGAAAGATTTTAAAAAACTGCAGATTTATTTCCAGCTTTTGGTTAAAATCGTGATAAAACTGTGATTTCGATAAAATTTTCAGCATGCATACAAGTTACCGAGATCTTTAAATTTTTGTAATAAGCTCAGATAAAAAAGTTAAAAAACGAGAAGTTTCTATCTTTTTTGTCATTCCAAGTGATAGCAAAATTTAAGAAAAAGCATTTTGGTCATCGTTTGATAGACAAGTCCTGCTATCATCAAAAAGAAATTCAAGTCACCTAGTCCACTTCCAAAAAAGTTATTGCGTTTCAAAAGGTGTACGAACACTTTTGTGGCCAACTGTATATAGTAATGTCTCCCTAATTGACGCTCAGATTGTACACAAAAATAGACAATTTGTGAAGAGAACATAATAACCTTGTGGCTCGTTTTTATAATTACCGACCATCACGAACTATAAAAATGAAACTCAAGGCTCGAATAGTCGTATCTCCTCTTCCCAAATTGTCAATCTTGATTTACAAGCTGAGCGACAATTGTGGAGAGTTTCATTACAATTTCTTCCCAATTCGTGCTCAGATTGCACACAAAAATAGACAATTTGGGAAGAGAATATAATAACCTCGCGGCTCACTTTTATAGTTGCCGATTGTCAACAATTATAAAAACGAGGTGCAAAGCTCGAATCATCGTATCTTCTCTTCCAAAATTGTCCATTTTTGTTTCCAAGTTGAGCGTCAATTAGAGAGACTTTACTGTACAGTAAATTCTCCCTAATCAACGCTCAGCTTGTACATAAAAATGGACAATTTGGGAAGAGGAGATACGATTAGCCGAATCTTGCGGCTCACTTTTATAGTCACCAATTGCCAACGGCTGTAAAAACGAGCCAAAGTGCTCGAACAATCGCGCTTCCTCTTTCCAAAATTGCCCAATTTTGTTTCCAAGCTGAGCGTCAATTAGGGAGAATTTACTATATAATATAGTATAATAAATGCAGTTAATAGTATTATATATAATAAGTGCTATTTGAAAGACATCCTGATTCGTTATCACACGCGTAAGGGTTGAAAAAAAACAAGCGTTCCGGTCGCTTCCAGATCGTACCTCAGATATATCGCGTCACCCGGTACAAAAAGCTGTTCAGAAGCTGATTTTGCTACCGCGATCGAACGAAATTTTTTTCGGTTTTATCATCCCCCAATCGCGCGCAACGCGTACACGTGTCCCTCTCCTTTAATTACGATATCGACGGCGTATTCTCTATATCCAGCACGCTTCGTTTACTCTTACGTGTTGGCAAACGGTATCCGTTTTCACTCGCCGCGGTTCCAGCACGTGCACGACCTTGAAACCGTACGCCGCGAGGCCGGGGGTGTTTGAACTTGTACGCGCGGCCGAATTATCGTCACGCGTTCCCGCAATTTTACCGACCCCGTCGTCGTCCCCGAGCGCGGTTCCGGTCCCGCGTGACCAGAACTGCCTGCAGAAGTAACGACGAGCTAACATTCCTAGAGAGCATCGCATGACGAACGACCGTGTCCCATACGATGCGGCGATAAAGACGACACGCGACCGCGCGGCATCGTAACACGGGGCCCCGGTTGGCTAATGAAAAAGCCCGAGCGTTACCTAATCACGGTTCGAGCGCCGCTGATTTCGAGACGAGGAAGCTCCGTCGAGCGAGCGAGCGAGCAAAAGCGGACGCGGCTCGGTCCCAGCACGGCCGCGCGGCGGTGCGCTTTAAGGGTAAAAATAGCCTTCCAAGGATGCAGAGTCGGGTTTATTAATCGGAGCATATCTCGCGAGGCTGCCGGCTTTCAACGCCCCCCTCTCCTCCCCTTATTCTTCATCTCGTTTTTTTTTCTTCCACCGAAGATCATCCCTTCGGCCCGTACGTCCCGGTATTCCATCGTTATTATCCCCGGACTCATTGAATTTCTTTGCTGGTCCGCGGACGTCACGTGGCGCGAGGTCGCGCACTATACACCCTCTCGCCGACACCCGGCCGACGAGACTTGTTGCTCGTAACAGCGGAAGAAGCGCAGCAGCTTTTCGAAGGAGCTCGGATCCTGCTCGTCTAGCACCCAGACGCTCGGCGGACACGTGGGCTGGCTGGCTGGCTTGGCTGCTCACCGGATAAGGATGCAAGGATTTCAAGGACCGCTTCGATCCGGGTTCACCCAAGGTCGTCTCCTACCCTGGGCCTCCGTTCGCCCGCCGTCGGCAAGAGCCCGGAGGCGCGCCGGCGTCCCCTCCGATTTTCGACA